GTCTCACTATGTAATTTTACAAAGAATTAAAAGGTTATATTAGTACAAGTGATATTAAAATACCTAAGTTAGCTAAATAATATTTATGGAATATCCGAACCTAGATTATTAATCCTCTCTATATATTATTTCCGAATGGGCTGAGCCTACATGGTTGTTTCTGGTTCTTCGGAATCTTACTTGGCAACATGCTTCGTAATTAAGTTTGGACAAATAATATTGATATATTAATAATAATTAATAATCTAGGTTCGGACATTCCATAAATATTAAATAGCTAACTTAGGTATTTTAATATCACTTGTACTGATATAACCCTTTAATTCTTTGTAATTTTACATATTCTTTTTAATTTTACATAGTGAGACATTAAGTGACTAATATATCCATGACTTTTGATTTGTTTCCTTCAATTAGTTGTTTAATTGCAAATGTATTTTAAAAGTTGATAACTTTTGTATTTCTTATCGGTTTTACATATATAATATATCAAATTAATCATCTTTTGATGATCTTCGATTTGGCATCCATATTGTATATATGAAATAAATAAATTATATTTATCTTTATAATAATAATAAATAATAATAATTATTAAAATTCATTAGAAAAATAAAATTATTTCTCAATTGATATATATATATATATATGTTAATGTAGTTATATGTTGCAAGTTAAAAAATTATTATAATATAACACAAGTAAGTCGCACAAATAAAAGAATGTCACACTAAATATATAATATATATATATATATATATTTATAAAAGGTATTTAAATTTTCAATTACTTTTTCTCATTAATTTTAGATTTAAGAAAAAAATTAGCAAGTACCCGTGTAATGCACATGCGTTGTACTAGTTATTAATGTATCAATAATATTTGTCCAAACCTAATTACGAAGCATGCTTCTTCGCCAAGTAGGATTCTGAAGCACCAGAAGCAGTCACGTAGGCTCAGCGCATTCGGGAACTATATATAGGAGGGATATTTTTTTTTTTAAAAAAAAAAAGAAATTTCTTGAAATTATTATATCTCTTTACTTTTTAAGCTAACTTTACCATATGATTAGCCTTCGACACGTGCATAGAGAGACAAACTGTACGGCCGATAACTTAACGAGCTTTGCGTATTTCTATCCGATTGGCCTCCATGTGCTATCTACGCCTCCTCCTAGTTTGGGAGAATGGCTCCAGCATGATACTATTGGGGTTTCTTATCCCCGCCGAATTCTTATCTAAAACCTAAGCCTATGACCTCCTTCCTTGTACAAAAAAAAAAAAAAAAACTTTACATATGCATATATTGTCACCAAGTTTTCAATTATCTCTCATAAGCCAGCAACTATAAAATATAAATTTCTTTATAATCTATCACCAACTTTACCCTTAAACGCTCACTGCGAATTTACTGAAAATGAGAGATTCCTATGCAAATAAAGAAAGATGAATGTACCTTGTTGCAAATAAGTGATGCAACTGAACGTTCATTAATTTCATTTTGTTAGATTAATGGATAGTAGTGATGATATTTTATAATTTTACAAAGTGCTACAAAGTTTAGAGGGTGCAAAGTAAGTGAGAATAAAATTTATTAAAACTATGGAACATATTTAATATATGTTAAAAAATTAGATAAAACATTTATTTGTAAATTTCTATGTAAAAATAAATATATATATGGATCCGGATCAAGGTACGTACGTTTCTGACTCAAATTCAAATATTTTCTATACAACTAAAGTAGTATTTTGTTACCCGGCTCGATTCCGGATTATTCGGTTCCCTATGGATCCAGAAACCGGAAGGTTCATGTACAAAAAAAAAAGTAGTATTTTGTTAATTTTTGAAGAAAAAAAAATGGTTAGATGAGATTTTTCAGATTAAAGGAATAAACATGCTAAATTATATATTTTTAATAAAACGATGCTTTTACTCAAGTTTTTGAAGATTGTGAATTTTAACAAATTATATTTGTGTAAAGTTACTTAAGTGATATATTTTGTATATAATTTATTATTCAATGGTTAGTTTAATTCTATTTGAAAGTTAATAATAATTTATACTGATTAATATTACTCTTGTAATTTTTACTTTTATTTATTCAATTAACTAAACATACATATTATCAACAATGAGATAAAAAAAATAAAAATAAAAAAATACATTCTCTTAATGTTATTGGTTAATTTCATAATTTGCACTCTGCAGCCGACAAATTAAGGATCAAAACTTACAAAATAACAAAGTGTAAGGACTAATTGATGCAAGATCCAATGCATTTTATAACATTTCACAGCCCGTGCCAGCACGTGACACCCATGCCGACCTTTAACTAAAAATTTGAAAAAAAAGGTACAGGTTAAATTATAATTTGAATGAAAAATGTTAGTAACACTCACGTCGGGTGGGGTCCACTTGATTATTTATTTTTGGTCGGTATCACTCAATGTGAATTTTATGTATACATTTATGTACAACATTATGTATCTATAATATTTATTTTTATAATATATTTTTGTTTTTGAAAGTGAAACCATGATTCTAATTAATAATCTTCTTCTTAGCGCTCTCGACTAAATGGATTTGGATCCAAATTTCACCGTTGTTAGCGCTCTGGATATGAAGAGACATTGTGCATTGATGGAGGGTTAAAAATGAAAAAATATGAACAAAAATAGCCAAAATGACATTTATTTAATCAATGATCCATTAAGCTAAAGTGATAAATAATAAAAATAGGAGGGAGTATTTTTGTT